AGGCCGCCTTGGGTCTGACTCAACGTTGCCTGCAACTCTGGCCAGCAAACTGGGTTACTTCCCTGCAGTTATGAAGGTGTGACCGTGCATTGTCAAGTTCTCTGATGCTCTGATCAGTGTTGCATTTCCCAATTGTTTTTTCACATACACACATGCACATAATTAAGCAGTAAAAAACTCTTTTTATTATACATACTATATATACACATATAAAAATCCTTCTGACCAAGCAGAGGATACAAAACAATCTAAGGATCTCTTATTTTAATGCTGTGGAAAAAGTGCTTGCTTTGTTTATACTCTTAATGAGTATACTTGCATAGTTGCATTGTGGATATGTTTAAACATGCCTGTAGTGTTCTAGTTTGATATTTAAATGCTAACAAATTAGAAATGAAAGAGTTTTGACTTTGTATTTTGTAACTGGATAATAAAAGTGATTTAGATGGAGTAAGAAGCTAAGAGGCTAATTATCTGGAAACCTCTGTGGCTACAGATTCTTAGGAAAGTGTTAGTTACTCTCTTGACTTGTCTGTAACAGAAATTTTGTGTGTGTGTGTAATAAATAATAAAACCTAGCATTTACTGACTGCATAAAACAGGTTATTAAAAACAGCCTTTATATCAGGACGATAGTTGTCTCATTATGGGAGGGGATGGACACATTGTGATATGATAAATTTCTACTCAGAAGGGCAGAGCTGTCCTGGTCATAAAAAACCAAAAGCTGGCAGACCTGCATTTATTATAAAATGTATGCGCAATACCTTATTGCATATGTATTTCGTCAGTTCTGTTGATCTGCTGGAAGAGGCCTGGGGAAGAGATAACCTTTGTGTATTTGCAAATATCAAACTACAAAGAAAACTTGAGACAATCTCATCTGGCGCCTCTTAGCTTTGTTCTAATGCAAACAGCAATACTACCTACGTTTAATTTATACTTTCGACTACTTGTGAATTTTTACTTACTCTATTTGACAAGGGATCAGATTGCTTAAGTTTTAGTGGTGTGGCAGTTGCAGAGCTGGGAGCGCTTGGGCCTGTAGAGTAAATGTGAATCTTACGGTCTAACAAACTTGTCCACCTTGGTGGATGTTTCTGCCACAGGCAGTGCACTATTTTAGAAACACCAAAGGTCTGCTGTTTTGTTAAGTTTCCAGTTTGTGTGTTCGGACAGCTAATTGAGACCAGAAAGGTTTTTGCTTATCTCTTGTAACTTGTTATTCTTCAGGACCTACAAACTTTTTTTAAAGTGAGTATGCTAATGTGTATTTAGAGTTTTTGACCACATATACTGTAACTTGAATGAAAAAGTGATAAGGGAGAAGCTGGATAACTTGCTTTTTCTTAATTGAATGCTTTTTCAGAAATAATAACAAATTTTTTTAAATGAAATTTTATTTATATCACTGATTTCTTTTTTTAAATGTCTTTTTGGAGGTGTAATTTAGTGTTTAACTCTTAAATTGAAGAGAGTTGAGTGGAAAAAGCAAGTCTCAGAGATGTATGTACAGTTTAAAGAAATTTTATTTTAAAAAAAAAGTAATTTCCAAAACATCATTTGTAAAAGGAGTGACCAATTCTTCTCTGCAACTTGGAGGAGTATGGCTGCTAAGATCCAAACAGAAATAACACTTAATTTGTCCCTTCTGAACACGACCATGAGGTTCCATGTATTTATGGCTTTCATATTTGAATGTTGCAAAATACTGCAAACAGTAGTTAAATACAAAATATTGATGAAGGGCTGAGTAACTGGAAGTGTTACAGCTAGTCTGGCATGAATCTTTGAGAGTGTGTCTTTTCAGTACCCTTTTTATTCACCCAGTCCCACTTAATAGCACAGAATGTGGCATTTCAGTCCTGATTTTCCAGAGCAAACGATCTAGTATTTCAGACTGTGGTCTAGTTACAACATGGGCTTTGGAAATGTATTGCTACTCTGAGTCGATTGTAGAGGGGGCCAAAATAATGATGCTGACTTTGTTTCTTAACATGTTTATCTGTCAGTTGATGAATGACTATAATTGAGCAGAAATAATTTCTCTTTATTCTTAAGAGTCTTCTCTTAACGAAGAAAGTTGGAAGAGGGCAAAACCAATTCCTGGTATGGGCAGAGCATTTGTTGAAATAGCTAAGACTAGAGAAGTAGCGCTTCCTGTATTCTTTTTCTTACTGTTCTGCATCTAGGAAAGAAAGGTGTGTTTAGGTAAGTTTCCATGGTACATGTATGAAGGAGGAAGGGTTGTTGGATCTTGTGCAACAGCCATCGAGACACCTCTTTTCCATCTATACTTACAGTTGCTGACTCAGATCATTCTTAATCATCTAAGCACACACCTTGTTGACAGACTGTTAACTGAATGGGTTCCGTGCTGGCTGCAAAACCAGCACAATCTAGGAAGAGATTATGGCGAACAACGTCAGGTTTTCTGTTGTGTCTTTATTGATTTAAATTATGGCACTGATGCTGTCAGGCACTTTGGTAAAAAAACCCCAAATTACATGCGGACTGCACTGCCCTGATAACTCTCTCCCTCCTTTGATGGTGACCTGAAAGCCCATGTGATAGAAACTTGATCTGTTTCAGAGGAGTTTCTTGCTGCCAGGGAAGTGCAGCAGAGCTGTGGACTGCCTCCTGCTCTGGTGTTTTGGCAATGCTGACCTCAGCCTTCTCAGAGAGATAGGTTGGTGTACATCTGCTGTAAGGCTGGTGGCTGCCTTTTGGACCTGTCTACCAAGACTAAACTCTACTTCCCTGAAGTCATCAACCATACACACAGATGACTAGAATTACTGCACATTTAACAGAGGATTTCCTTAATTGCCTTGTGACGTTATCCTTAATCTTTCTGTAAGATGTCATGTTTAGGCCTGTCCCAGGCAGTTCTTTGAACCTACTTTCATTAGCTATGATGATAGGCACAATCAAACTGAGACAGAGAACTGGACAGACTAGGTGAAAATATGAAACCCTTACTTGATTTAATGATTCTAAACTTAGCTTAAGAGAGATAAATTTTCGGTTGAAGTTTAGGGTGTATTGGGACAGCGCAGTTTACTGAGGATCAAATCTACTTGATTGACAATGCCAAAACTTAGCTTATGTGGGTTTTTTCTTTGTAGTTTTTGTTTGTCTTTTTTTTTTTTTTTTTAGTGATACTCTATCTGTGTGAGTAGCAGTTGATAATATTTTAATATTTTCAAGACAGCTGATCATCTGATGATGGTTGTGGGTATATTGGGTTTTCAACCAAGACGGCTAGCTTTGCAGCCTGTTTTCTGTGGAATCCAGTGTGATTGTCTCTAGTTGCTGTATCTGGTACCTTGAACTATTCTATCTAGGATGCTCATGTGAGTTTCTAGATACAAATTCACAAGATAGTGGATGCTGAAATCTCTCCGATATCAAAACCTGGTGAGGTGGTTTCTGTTCTGGATCAGGGTGGAGGAGTCCAGGAACCCTCTGCAGGCTTTTGAAGTCCAACTTTTGCATGTGGCAAAGCAGCCTGTGAAAGTCAATGTAAAAGCTGAAGGTTAACATTAGATACTGCTAGGCTCTCCTAAGCTTTGTCAGACCACTTTTTTTCACTGAGAAGTGATTGCCTTCCTGTCAGTAGGCAATTAGATGGTGCGCCTCTCTCACACAGACTGGGATGTTCAATCATAAGTGATTGCTAGGATAGTAAAAAAGGATAGCAGTATCCCATCATGGAATTGATCACCATTGAATATGAGTGACAGTGTAGAAGATGACAAATGGCAAGTATCAAAAGCAGTCTTTGCTTTAAAAATAGTTCCTTAATGCAAATATACAACACCCAGCTTCATTCATATTTGGATTTAAGCGATCCCACTGATTAAGGTTACACTGTGTTTTTAAAAAAAGTTTTTGCATGTTTTTGTGAGGGAGGTTATTATCATTTACAGTCAACGTGTTTTACCCTTCTCTTAATTGCCTGCCTTCAGTGATGATAGTACAACCGTCTTTATAATAAAAAGTAATATGGCTTGGTAGTAGCACATCAGCAGATTGAGGTAGTTGGTGCTCAGGCCCCTCTGTCTACCTAACACACTGTTTGCTTAGTCTGCTTCAGACTAAATTTAGTCTGGCCTCTTGGACCAAATATTCCTGCCACACTTATGAGTCGAAGCTGTCTGAAGGACCAGTGATTGATCTTGACCCATCTGTTCCCATTTAGCAGGTAGGATGTAGTTGAGCACATGAAGCAGAGCTTCTGGAAAGAAACTCTCATTTCCATTCCCTCTGGAAGGAATCTAGTTCACTTTGGCCAGAACTGTGCTGTAACCTATACCAACCCAAGGGAGAAGGGAGTGATTCACTCCAAAACCCCATGATGCTTTTCTGAACCAAAATGTTCCAGAGGCAGCCGTGATGCTGTAGAATAGTCCCTCTGTAGCCCATGAATAAATAAATGTTTAATAAACACAAACCCTTGGGTTTTATTAAATTTAATGAAACGAAATAGAATTCTATCCCTGTTTGGCCCCTCTGTGAATGAGGAGATAAAAATCAAGTTAGGAATGCAGTAGAAACCTGAAAGGTACAATGTTGCGTTTGTCAGTAGGGCTCCTCTAGAAGTGCGTCTACCAAATGTTTTGATGGAAAAAAAAGATTTGCTTGAGAGTGGATGTTAGCCTCCCATTTTGCATGTTGCTCATGCTTGCTAATGTCTATAATTCCGGGAGTAGGGCTTGTGTGGTTTTTGGGTTTCTGTTTATATTACAAGGGCAAACATATTGCAATGCAGAAAAATGGCCAGTAGTAATTTTTTTGTTGACACCCCATATGACACGCCCCATAATAGAAGTCATAAGAATTTTATTAAAACTTTAATGTGGATGGAACTGGGGCTTAGCTTTTCAGCAGGTATGTTGTGTAGGTGTTAGATCAGACTTACCATGTCTGTGGAACGTGGCAGCTATCACAGTGTTTTGTTTCAAGTAAATATAATCAAGGTGTCTCTTGTATTTTAGGAAGCTGAGTATGGTGGACATGATCAGATTGATTTATATGATGATGTAATTTCTCCATCTGCAAATAATGGAGATGCCCCAGAAGATCGTGATTACATGGATTCTCTCCCACCATCTGTTGGGGATGATGTAGGTAAAGGAGCTGCACCAAATGTTGTCTATACATATACTGGAAAGAGAATTGCCTTGTACATTGGAAATCTTACTTGGGTAAGTATCTTACTACTGTTTAGGTGTAGCCAGGAATTTTAAAATTATGAACGTAGTTCTTTGTAAATATTTTTGGCTTAAAAATTGTTTTATATGAAACATTAAGAATACAGCAAAGCAGGTGGTGGGGTTTTTTTTGTTTGTTTGTTTGTTTTTCTTTTACCTGGAATTTAGTGAGCCTGTCTGGAGCTGTCTTGATGTCTAAAAAAAATCGAGGAAATCTTCAGTAAAGATAAACTTTAAAGTTTCCTCTCACGTTTTAAGTGTTATGAAGGGATATTTGTGCTACTATCTTCTTAAGGTTTTCAGAGAACTGAATGAAAGAGGAGAACAAGCTTAAACTATGAAATACTTTATGCCTGTAGATACTTTAAGGCTACTGAATGAACCCATTTTTTAGTAAACTCTTGCTGAAGTTTTTAGTTTAAAAAGGAGCTGGAAGGTTCTCTGGGATTTTCTTGAAATTACTCCTCACATTTTTCCAGGGCCTTTTTCCAATTCCCTTGTTGCAGGGCAGTGACTCTTAGAACAAAACTGTTTTCAGGTATTTGCCTTGAGGCTTATTTCTGCAGTCCTAGGAGTAACGGGTTTAGGATAACTCACTGAACTGCAGTTGCCCTTAAGACAATTACTTCTGTTAGCATTAAAGCATTTTAAAATCAATTGCAGTTAAGCAAACAAAGTGCAGGAGCTGGTCAGTAGCTGAATTAACTGGAGTTTTTATCTGTTTACCTGAAATCCAATTCTTCTAGGCCCATGCATGCAAATTTCTCCTTCAGGGTTTTTCCCTTCTGATTAATTTCTTACTAGTGCTAAACTTGGAAAAAGAATGCTTTATGGGTGCTTAGGTGTTTTTTCATTAATTACTATTGTTATCCTAATTTCAGGAGCTAATAGGTAAGTAAAGGAGCCGTTGACTTAGCAGTTGTAGCATTCTAAAAGTATATGAATAGAATCAGTAAAATGCACATGAATTAGCTGAACTCATCCAAGTCGAATGTCACAGTTTTGAAAACAGGTTGGCCAGTGTTCAGCAGTTTGTACCTATTGCTCATTACTTGGCTTCACAAATGAAGTTATCCCCAAAAAGTGCATTTATCTACTTCAGCGTTGCTATTCTGTTTGTTTTCTTTGTGTTTAGCTCTCAGTAAAGTAATTTGTTGATTTTTTTTTTTTTAAAAACTTGATTTGAGGGAGATCAGATAAGTAGTTCAGAATCGTGAAAGTCTGCTTTGCACTTCCCATGTGAAATTTAAAGAAGCGATGGAGTTACAGAAGTAGGAAGAAAACCATTGGTATTAGTATATTTGTGTATCTTTGGATATAAGTTAAATCGTTAAACATTACATAGTAATTAATAGGAAGTCACAGCAAGCAGGTTTGGTTAAGTGGAAGTAGTTGTTTCTAACCATAGTTTCTGTACTAGTTTCCCTTCTTCTGTCTGTAAATCCTGCTATTTTTGTACAAATAATACGTAGTTCACTAAACTCACTAGTCAAAGCTCTCATAAAGAGCACCTGGTTAATATGGTGTTTAAATTTACTTTTGTGTGAAAATAGTAGAATCAGTGGGAGAAAAAAATTGATTGGGTGTGGAAAAAGTGACAGCTATTAAAATAGTCTAGTTCAAGCCTTGTACTCTCAGAAGACAGAAGTTACTCAAATACAGGTTTTTTTAGCATACTGTAACTGGTATACTGTGTAGAGGGGTTGATGCAATGTAGCATATGGGAAGTGTGTATATTTTTAAAATTAATTTTCTGAGAATTGTAAAATATAAATGACTGCTCTCCAAAAATCAGAACATGCTGGCAGCCTGAATAAAGTATTTCTCTTGACCAATTTCACACACGCAAAAAAATCCATGGAAAACTTAGTTGCCCTTTTCCTGGTGTTTTAGATAAGCTTTCATAGTTGAATATTAAAAATATTTTTCAGTGGACAACAGATGAAGACTTAACTGAAGCAGTTCATTCACTGGGGGTAAATGATATTTTGGAGATAAAATTTTTTGAAAATCGTGCTAATGGCCAGTCTAAAGGGTAAGAACTTGTTGTTTGTTTTTTCTGTAAATGACTGATGTTTGGGAGGGTAGAAATGGGGAAAGAG